TAAATTCAAACATCTATGGTGTGGGCCACAGGGAACTCTGGTGGCTTGTTGTTTTGAGGTGCTACTGAGTCAAGTATGACTCATAGCAACCCTATGAACAGCAGACCTGAGCCCTGTTCTATCCTGTGCCATCATCATATGGTCTCTGACACAGTAGAGCCCCCTGCTCAGGTCACCATATCAATTCAGCTCATTAGGGACCTTCCTCTCCTTCACTGACCCTCCACCTTTCCAAGAACGACGTCCCATTTCAAGGAACAGCCTCGCCTAGTTACAAGTCTAAAGTATAAAAGACGAAGTTTAACCATCTTTGCCTCTAAAGAGCACTCTGGCTGCACTTTTTCCAAGATATATCTACTTACTCTTTCGGCAGTCCATGGATTATTCAGTACTCTTCTCCAGCACCACAAATCAAAGGCATTCATTCTTCTATCACCCCTATTCATTCATTGTCCAGCTCTCTGCTGTACAGCAGGTGAGTGAGACCATGGTCTGAACTAGGAACACCTTAGTCTTGAAACTGACATAATTGCTTTTCAGCATTCAGGAAAGGTTCCTGACAGCAGACTCGTCCAATGCAATACGTTTTCTAATTTCCTGATTGCAGGTACCAAGAGTGTTGATTGTTAATCTAAACAAGATGAAATCATTAACCACTTCAAATTGTGCTCCTAACACAAAAGTTTACAGTTCAAATCCACAAGCTGCTCTGCCGGAGAAAGATGAGCACTCTCCTCCTGTACAACTTGTTATGTGCCATCAAGTCGACTCCGACTCATAGTGACCCCGTGTACAATAGCTCTGAACCCTGCTCTATCCTCAGCCAATTTCATTGTCTCCGACACACCTACCCCCATTATCCCAGTCACTGAATCAATCCATCTCATCCAGGGTCTTCCTCTCTTGTGCTGTCTCTCCACCCTTCTAAGCATGATGCCCCTCTCCAAGGCAACATGCCCAAAATACATGAGATGGAGCTTCAAAATCCTTGCCTCCAAGAAGCAGCCTGGTTTCACCCTCTCCAGGACGGACCTGTTTGTTCTCTTAGGAGTCCTGGTATAGTCAATACTCTTCTCCAGCACCACAGCTAAAATGGCATTGATTCTTCTTCTATCATACTTAGTCACTGTCCAGCTCTCTGATGCACAGCAAATAACTGCAAAGAGCATGGCCTGGATCAGGCACACGTTAGTGTCTAGACTGACATCACTGCTCTTCGGTACTCTGGAGAAGTTCCGGACTGCGCAGCCTCTGAAAACCTGCTGGAGGGTCAGCTATGAGTTGGTTCCAACTTGACAGTACACAACCGCAACATGGTGTGGGCCACAAAGTGGACTCAGGACCAGGAACAGGAGTAATCTGTAAAGGCTGCATGTCAGAAAGTCTTTAGAAAGAGAGCCCTTGCCTATCAGAGGATGCTCCGAATACAACACATATGTGCCACAGACTGCGACCTCCCCTCCTCCCCCAACAAGGTTTGTCCTCACAAAAAATCACTAATTACCAACTGACCAGGAAGCCATCCTGTGTTGTCAGGTGCCATCAAGTAGAGTGAGACACATACTGACCCTCTGAACAACAGACCTGAATCCCGTCTTCACCATCTCTGATACACTTGAGCCCACAACTGCAATCAGCATGTCAGCCCATCTCGGTAGGGGTTTTTCTCTCTTTGTCTGACCCTCTAGTCTTCCATGCATGATATCCTTCTACTGCACCTCAAACCACCTCTCTCTCAAGGAAGACTTTTCATAAAGTTCAGCGAGCAGTTCTTCTAGGTCAAATGACACAGGTCTGTCACCATTTGGCACAGGCTATGAAAAGGGCAGGTGAGCAGTCTCAAGATCTATGGAGAGCAGCAAACTAGTTGCTTTCCAGTGGAGTCTAAGTCCTGGCAGCCCATATGTGCCAGAACAGAAGTGAATCCCACAGGGTTTTCAATGGTTCTTGTTTAGGAAGTAGGTAGCCACACATTTCTTCCAAGCCATCTCTTGAGACACTTCCAATCATTCTGTCCAGTGCATTAAGCTTTGCAGTGGGTAAGGAGCCTCCAGCACTGAGGGATGAGCAAACTTGGAAAGACAGGGGACTGGGGTGGGCTCCTGGGAGGCTAAAAGGGCACTTACAGGTCTGCTCAACTCCACTGACTGCCCCTTTCACCACTAGGGCTGGGCCTGTGTGGCAAAAAATAGCAAGAATTTAGGTATCATGCAACAGAGCTAAGAAAGAACAGAGGAGAAAGGGGGGAGAAAAGTGAGTGTCTTTCTATTCTCATTCTGTTTCTAATAAAGATAGAAAATTGGCTAAGTCATGTCTCAGAGAAGACAAGACTATGGGTCTACCTCTGACTGGTGCAAAGTCACCAAGCAGGGCAGTGCTGAGGGTGTGAAAGGACCATGTTGTTGTTATGTGCCGTCGAGTTGTTTGCGACTCATAGCGACCCTATGTACAACAGTCCTAAACCGTGCTCTATCCTGTGCCAATCGCATTGCCTCTGACACACCCATCCCGATTACCCCAGGCACGGAATCAATCCACCTCATAGAGGGTCTTCCCCTCTTGCGCCGTCCCTCCACCCTACCAAGCATGATGTCCCTCTCTAAGGACCTGTCTCTCCTTACATGTCCAAAGTATGTCAGATGAAGCCCCAGAATCCTTGCCTCCAAGGAGTAGCCTGGTTTAACCCTCTCCAGGTTGAATCTGTTTGTTTTCTGGGCAGTCCAGGGTACATTCAATACTCTTCTCCAGCACCACAGCTCAAAGGCATCAATTCTCCTTCTATCCTCTCTAGTCATTGTCCAACTCTCTGATGCATAACAAGTGATTGCAAAGACCATGGCCTGTATCAGGCGCACCTTAGTCTCCAGAGAGACACCGTTGCTCTTGAGTACTTTAGAGAGGTAGCTAACTGCAGACTTTCCCATCGCAATACGTTTTTTTATTTCCTGGCTGCTGGTGCCAAGGGTGTTGATTTGTATATATACTGTTTTATTTTTGTGCATGTTGTTTCTCACAGTCCTTCTTTTACATTGTGTTTCATACAATCTTTGTTTTTTTGTTTTGTTTTTTACAATCTTTGTTTTTTAAAATGAATCACCATAGATCTATACCAGCTATTACCCTGTCTTTTGAGGCCCCTCTTGGATCCTTCTGATTCCTTCATCCTCCTGTCTGCTCACCAAATGATTTCTCACCTTCCCACTTTAGCACCCCCTCTCCTCTTTCTCCTTCCATTTTTGGGCTTTTATCCACATCTTACTACTTATTCTTCTATTTTTACAATTAATGGTCTTAGGCACTATGTGTCCTTATGAGACTGAGTTAGTTCACTCAGCATAATGCTTTCTAGATTCTCCCATGTTATATACTCTTTTACGAAGTCATTATGCTTTTGTGCTGCATAGTATTCCATTGTGTGAATGTACTACAGTTTCTCAATTCATTTACTAATGGGCATTCAAGCTGTTGCCATTTTTTTGCTATTGTGAATAATACTTCTGTGAACATAGGAGCACATATGTCCATTCATGTCTCAGTGCTGTTTTTCTCTTCAGTACCCTGGAGAGGTCCCTAACAGCAGACTTTCCCATCGCAATACGTTTTTTGATTTCCTGGCTACTGGTGCCAAGAGTGTTGACTGTGGAGCCAAGCAGACTAAAGTTGTTAACAATCTCAATCTCTTCACCACCCATCCTGATGCTCCCAATTGGTCCGGTGGTGAGAATCTTTGTCTTCTTGACATTGAGCTTCAATCCATACTGAAGGCTGCAATCCTTGACCCTCTGCAGCAAGCATTTTAGGTCCTCCTCAGTTTCAGCAAGCAGGGTTGTGTCATCTGCATAACGCAGATTGTTAATAGATCTTCCACCAATCCTGATGCCACACTTCTCCTCATAGAGCCCAGCCTCTACGATAATCTGCTCTGCATACAGGTTGAAAAGGTATGGAGATAGGACACAGCCCTGGTGTACGCCTTTCACAATTTTGAACCATGCAGTGTTTCCTTGCTCTGTTCTGACGACAGCCTCTTGGTCCAAGTATAGGTTTCACATTAGAACGATCAAGTGTTCTGGGATTCCCATTCTTCTCAGAGTCAGCCACAGTTTATGATCCACACAGTCAAATGCCTTTGCATAATCAATGAAGCACAGATAGACATTCTTCTGGTATTCCCTGCTTTCAGCTTAGATCCATCTAACATCAGCTACAATATCCCTAGTACCACGACCCCTTCTAAACCAAGCCTGGACTTCTGGCAGTTCTCTGCTGATGTGCTATTCCAGTCGTTTTTGGATAATCTTCAGTAGAATCTTGCTTGCGTATGCAATCAATGATATCATTCTATAGTTTCCACACTCTGCTGGTTCACCGTTCTTCGGAATGGGAACAAATAAAAGTCTGAATTACCCAATGTGAACAAGTTAAGACCGTTCTGGGGGCCCAATCTCAGATAATCCCATGAAAGAAATGCAGGGCCCTAGGAGTAATAAGTTCATAAGACAACTCTTCTCAAAGTAACACTCAACTATAAAGCCGTAGGCTATCACCACAGGCCCAAGTTCTGGGCTTGTCAGGCCAGCTGGTCAATCTCAAGTGTAAGTGTGACAGCATCAGAAAGCTGGAGAGGAGCCGAAGTGGTGGTGGTGTGTGGGGGTGTGGGTAGAATCACTTGCCCATTCAGATCTGATCTAGCATGAGGTGCCCCATCCTGATAGCTCCAGTCCAAACACTGGAGGAGGGTCTTGGAAAATTCCTAGGAAAGCACTCTAAAGTCTGGGAGTGCTGAGCTCATACTCGCACTACTGCTATTCTACAGCATGTTTCTCTCTACACATCCCCAACTTCCCTTTCTTCAAAATGTGCATCTTGATTCCATTTAAATCCAACAAAAATCTCCTGAGAATCTTCCATAAGGCTCACACTGGTGGGAGAAACGGCATCAGACAGGATGATAAGTTTATCATCAGGTAACAGAGACTTACCAAGAGGTAAAGTGAGCCAGATGCCAGAAGGGCCTTGAGCCAGGTGTAAGGTGCATGTGCCCTAACTCTCAGCCCTGAAGGTGTATGGCATGGCCAGGGGAGAAGGGACCCAGAGGAAAAGACCAGATCTGACCAGCAGGTGTTAAAAAAGATGCAGAAGGTGGACATGCAGCTAGTCTGTTCTGACATTATGAAGATGATGCTGTTTTGATGAGGTGCCACGGAACCCACTACACTCACAGCCAACAACAAATCAAAAGCTGCCCTATTCTGCACCATTTGCATGATGGGTGGAGATGGAGGACCTCTTAGAAGTCTGTTCTCTGGATTTAGGTAGGGAGCTAGAGAAAGTTTCTGAGGATACACCCAACCAGTGTTTTCATAAAGCATCGCAGTCTATATGGAGCTATGCTGGTAACCCCAAAGCCAGCCTCTCTGGCGGCTAGCATCTGCCAGTGCCTTATGCATGACAAAAGACTGGCCATTTCCTGCCCTCCTCCAGGCACATCTGCAGCTTGGAAACCCAAGGGAGGATCAGCCATGTATCAGTTCCTACTGGACTGTTGTAAGTTTGGGGAGTTTGAGTGTGTTGATCGACATCGACAGCAGTTCCATTTGTAAAATGGAAATATTCCCTTCCTTCCTCCTTCGGGTATAGTGAAAAGTTAATGATCATTAAGCGCATCCCACACTAAATCATTACCAATAAATGGCTTAAACAGGGAGCGAGAATATAGTGCATTGAAGGGTAGGGGGGAAAGTGATGAAAGCTGCGCTGGTTTGCAGGAGCTGCCAGTGCTGTCCTCCCATCCTTTCACCTGACTTTACCTGGTCAAAGGATAGAGTGAAGAATGGTTTTTGCTGAAATCCTAAATGCCGACCCCCTGCCACCATTCCTGACCAGCAAAAACTCTGTCTTATCTGCACCCCTGAGATCTGTTCAGAGGAGCGGGAGCGACACCCCGTCCGCACCAGCTGCCCCTATATTTAGTTACTGATGTGGTCAACCGGAAACTTTAGAGCCTGGCAGCCACGCCGACCCGCAACCCGAGCTTTCGTGGCCATGTGCGCGCGAGCTCCCCCATCGCCGCCTCTAGCGGGTCCTCAGACCACACCACGCTACGGAGTGGACTAGGAGGGGCGGGGAGGGGCAGTGAACTCGAACCAACTGACCCCCCAAATCCACTCCAGGCCAGAGGAGAGTTGACCCATTTTTCTACTCAAGGGAAAAAGCCAGTTGGGGTTCATAACTGGAGCCTTGTTTCTGTGCTATGGAGCTCCGGGGAATACTGGATCCCCAGGACTACACGAGGTGGCCACCAGGCAGGGGTCCTCACGTCCCACGCGCGCGCAAGGGGTTAGCCTGACCAGTCTATTCCACCCTCTGAAACCTGCAGCCAATGGCTCCTGGTGGCCTGTCCTCTGCTTGCCTGGCAAGCGGGGGTACTGGTAATAAGAAGGCAGAGAGGGCCGGGGACTTGAGCGCTACCCTAGGCGACGAAAAGACGTGGCATGTCCTCGGGCAAGCGTCTGCAGCTCCCCAGAGCGGACGCAAACCCTCAAAGTGCAGCTTCTGGAAAGAAATACACAGCAGCCTCTCCCAACAAGGTCGCCTTCCGCAGGGAACGGAGGCCCCGTTGAGAATGCGTCCAGGGTTCCCCCTCCCCCTGAGCCATCAAGGGTCCAGTCACAGTGTGCAGGCAGAGTCTGCGCGCAGCACTGCAGACGCTGCAGATGTTGCACCGCTGCTCTTTGCCAGGGGATCACCTGGGGGAGGGGGAAGGTACGGGGCAAAAAAACCGGGGACACTTCTCCCCCTTTCTCCCCCAGCCCTCAGACACTTAGCCTCAGACTACGTTTACTTTGCAGGACGCGTAGCATAAGGCCCAGTTCCGGCCGCTTTCTGCTCCACTTACGGCGACAATGCCTCCTAGCGCCCTGCGCAGCGCAGTCACGCTCCCTCGGCAGCCGCGGGCGCCCCATGCAACAGCCGGCAGCTCTGGCCGCTAGGGAGGGGCGCGCGTGCGCGCACCGCCCACCTGACCAATCACCGTGCCAGGACAGGAGCCTGGGCGGGAGCAGGCCAGCCTGGGCCCCGCACAACCAATCAGCACACGAAAGTCCTCTAGCGGCGCCCGGGAGCGGCGCGCGCGCTCTCGTGCGGAAGGAGGGTCGGCTTTGTGTGTGATTCCTGGAGACAAAAAAACCGTATGGAGAGACCAGACAGATGTAAACTAGAACGTGCAACAGACTCTAGGACTAAGGCTCCAGGCTTGTTTTTCTTGAGGAAATGGAGATCAGGAGTACTTTGAAAAATTTAAAGAGTCCTAGTGGAAAGTGAGAAAGGTGCCAGGCTGATAACTATAAGATCAATCAGCAGTTGCAGCCACTCCAAGGGAGAAAGAGATGATGGCTTCCCCCCTAAAAATGTGCAGCCCAACTCTAAAGGCTTACACCTAACTCGCAGTGTAACCAGGCTCTCCTTTAGAAGCAAGGATTGTGAAACTTGGACATGTTAGGAGGGGGCTGCCCTTGGAAATTTCATTATGCTGGGAGAGGTGAACGGGGGTCAGAGAAAGAGAAGACTCTCAACAAGATGGACTTATACAGTGACTGTGACAAAGGGCTAGAGCATATCAGAGGAGGTGACAATGGCGCAGGAGAGGGCATGGTTCCGATCTGTTACTCATAGAGTCACTATGAGATGTAGTCCACCTGATGGTACCTAACAACAACGATCACTATGAATCTTAATCTGTTAGAGGGTAGTGGGTTGAAACATTTTAAGATGAAGAATAGGAAATTTTCAATGAATGTCTTAAGGAGCTAGCTTATCCTTATTTTCAGAGACAACAATAGCTCTAGCTCAAGTAAGATACTTCACTGAAACTCAATGTCCTCAGGTATAAAATGGTATAAAATATTAAAATGCACAGCAGCTGCTCCAGGATAAGGCAGTCTGCTCTGGAGAGATTCACGCTTTGGAAACTTTACGGAAGTTGTTCTACTCTTGTCTTGTGAGTTATTGAGTCAGAATTACTCCAAGGCAAGGTTTAGGTTTGCCATGGAGTAGAAACTACCCATGGGTTATATTGCAACTGATAAAGTAAAAGAAAACTTTAACAGCAACGTAATAATAATTATGTGAAACTAAGATGTTCTAATATCTCAGGCAAAAAAAAACAAAAAACCCTCTTTTGTAATTTGTTGTTGCTATTGATTGCCTTCGAGTTGAACATGCTTCATAGTGACCCTATGAATAAAAGGCCTGAAGCCCCACTACAACCATCAATATTTATCAAAGCTCATAGAGTTTTGTAACTACTGAATACAATGCTAAGAGACTAATATTTCATAGTTATTGTTAGGTACCCCTTGAGTAGAACTCTACCCAGAGCTAAGCCTCCAGCAGGTTTTCAGAGATTGTAAATCACATAAGAGGACATTGCCAGTCTTCTTCCAAGAGAGAAGCTAGTGAACTCAAAATGTCTGCCTTTGGGTTGGCATCACAATTCCTTACCACTAAGCAGCCAGAGATGCCCTGTATACATAAGACTGAAGTTTTGCAATACCGTAAGGGTAAAAAAAGACTTTTGTTGCCTTTTCTGTGTTCCCCCAGCAATTTATGGCCAGGAGTTAAGTCACAAGCCATATGGAGTGGGCCAACTACCTCCAGAATATTTATAAGATCAGATCAACAATGCTGGTCCATTTCCACTGACCAAATCACCTGGACAAGTGGACATGCTGTCAAAATCCCTCACATTCTTCAGTCCTACTCCTTCCCTATACAAGCCTTCGAGTTCTCCGTGGAGGCAAGATGAAGCTGAGGTTTCTTTTCACATACTTTGGGCATGTTGCTAGGAGAGGTTTTTTCTTGGAGAGGGACATCATGCTTGGGGAAGTGTAGGAATGGTGAGGGAGAGGAAAAACCTCAACAAGGTGAGTTGACACAGTTACTGCAGCTATGAACTCAAAGAGTATGTCAGAGATGATGAGGATGGCACAGAATAGGACAGGAGGACAGGGTTCAGATCTGTTGTTCATAGGGTCACTATGAGTTGCACTTGATGGCATCTAAAATCAACAACAGCTAGTGATTGGAAGGAGCTTTGGTAACATAGTGTGTTTAGTGTTGTGTCACAAACCATAAGGTCTGTATTTGGAGTCTACCAACTGCCCCGGGGAGAAAGGTGAGCAGTCTCCTCCTATATCAACGTGCAGCCTGGAAACCTGACAGAGAGTTGCTGTGGGTCAGAACACTCTGCGGTTTCTAGAGGTTGGACAATCAGGTAGGAGTGCACACTCCCCCGAGCCTTAGAGACCTGACTTGAGCCAGGCTACATGAGCTCGGAGCCTCTGTCCAACAGAAAGAGACTTGGGTGGTTGCCTGGCCTTGGACACAGCCCCTATTGATGCTTGAAAGTTTTATGAAATTCATGCCAAATAGGAAACCTTTTGTATCAACAATAATGACAAATTGTTATCTGCAGTTCCTGGAGGGTCTGTCCCTCACAGAACAGGATAAATTCTCAAGGCAGCACTGTCTTCTAGACAAAGCCAACAGGTTAGCTATATAATGTAGATCTGATGGGGACTACTTCATGTTAAAGAATTTCCAGAGACCATTTCCAGGTATTAAATCTCTTTTTTCCCATTCTAATGTTCTCATATTTGTCCTCAACTTACTTAGTAGCAAATTGCTCTGCAAAAAATTGCTCTGTTTCCTGAAGGGGGAATCCACCAGCGGCTGCAGAGGAGAAAGATGGGCAGTCACCTCTCCTTGTGATTTGCAGCTCTGAAACTCAGTGGAGGCTTGGTATGAGCCAGAACTGACTCGATGGCAATGAATGTACACTCTAAGGGGTACACTCTAAGGGAAAAGTACATTTGGATGGGAAGAAAATATGAAGTTACAACAACATGCATGAACCAGACCCCCATGCACCATCCTATTCCCTCCTAGGCCACACCTCTGCCTGGACTTGAGTCGCCAATAGCCAGGAGCTGAATGACCCCGAGTTACTACCATCTTGATACCTCAATCCTGGACAGGAAGTTAATGTTGTTGTATGCCCTCCAGATGGAACTGACTATAGCTGACTCTCCAGTAGGTTTTCAGAGACTATAAATCGCATGAGAGGAGATTGCTCATCTTTCTTTTGAGGAGCAGTTAGCTGGTGGATTTGAACTCCTCACTTTTGGGTTGGCAGTACAACTCTTATCTATTAAGCCATGAGAGCTTCATTTATGTTAATGAAGTAGGAACAATTCCAAAAATAAAGTTTGGAAGGCTCACATAACTTGAAGAATGTAATCAATGTCACTAATTGACTATTACTTAGCCAAAAGGTAAAAAAAAAAAGAAAGAAAGAAGAAAAGCAAAAATTCAAAGAAGACACTACTCCAGTGGACTAATAGCTCACAGAGTCATGGCCTTATGTATTCTGAGAAAGAAGAACTAGTTGGTGTCTGATTAGTACCATCAGCCATTCTGGCCAGGACACAATAAACAGTCCCAGACAGAATGTGTGGAGAAGGGAGGTAGAATGTAGAGCAAATCTCAAATTTTTAAAAAATAAAGCAATGACTTATTGAACTAGCAGAACTCCAAGACTATTGCCCGAAGATAGGCTTTAAACTCAGAAGTGAAACTACTTATTTACCTTTCAGCTAAACAATAGATTATTATAATTAAATAATATTCTTTTTTTTCTCCTATAATTAAATAATATTCTAACAATAGATAATATCATGAGTGAGTACGAAACTCTTTTAAAGGAATCCATCTATATGAGACCAAATAATCAACACTCCCTCTAAATGAAAAAATTAGACAATAAGGGGAGCAGGGAAATGAGATTAAGGAAAATGGAACAACCAGAAGAGAAAGAAAGAAAGAGCACATTGATACATTGTGAAAATATGAACAATGTATATAGAAATTGTTAAATGTGGTTCTCATTTGCGGTATAACTTTGGCCAAAATACAAGAAAATGTTTTGAGGGAGAAAGATCAGGGTTCAGAAGTGTCAAGTGTGAAGGTATTGGTCATTCAGTGGTAGAATTCTCTCTTTCTGTTCAGGAGACCCAGGTTCAATTCCCAGCCAGTGCAACTCAGACACAGCCATTACATGTCATCTGTCAATGGAAGCTTGTGTGTTGCTACCATGCTGAGCCACTTTCAATGGAACTTTCAGACTTAGATGGACTAGAAACAATGAATGGTGGGTGATAAAAAGGCAGCCAGTGAAAACCCTATGGATTATGACAGCCCAAACCCATTGTGCATGAGGTTATCATAAACTGGGGCTCCCTCAAAGAAGCAGCTAATAATGATAGTACCAGGTATAGAGTCCAAGAGCAGGTTGCTCTTGTTTGCTCTCCAATTGTAGGAAAAGATGAAGAAATGGATTGAATTCTACTAGCTGTAGAAGACCAGGAAAGGGTGGGAGTGGTAAAGTGTAAGGAAAAGGAGACCATTCCTTTAGGGGGCCTCAGCTTGAGCAAAGGCTTAGAATCAAGAAAACATGAAGCTTTCTAGGAACAGCAAGTGTTAACATTTCAAGGATAAGAAAGCACTTGTTAGATATTGTCCATCCAGAACCTATTGAGAGTTGACCCTCCAGTGAGTTTTCAGGGGCTGTAAATAGCACAGGAGGAGACTGCTCCCCTTTCTCCCATTGAGCAGTTCATGGATTTGAACAACATGTTTTGGGGTTCACAATGTATCTCCTTACTGGTAGGCCACCAGGGTTCCATAAGAAAGTGGTGGGAGTGGTATGAAAGGGAACTCTTAGCTGCTGATAAGAAGATAGGCAAGTACTTGATTTACTTGATTTACTTCATACTTAAGTAAGCTTCTGCTTTGCAAGAAAGCACCCTGAAACGTAGTGCCTTCCAACAATGTGGGATTTCTCCAACTCCCCCAGCTGAGCAACTGGTAGGTTCACTGAGCAGATCTGGTCTGTGCTGACCTAACTGGCAGCCTGGCCGGAGCTGAATGACTT